CCATCCATGGTTGGGGGCAGCATCGATCTCCTGGAAGGGAATTGATCTGTCTCAGCGAAAGGTGCAAGCTTTGAGGCATGAAAGACTGGGTGAGTGCGTAGGTGTCCAGGGACACGAATGACATATGTGGGGCCATCCATCTCATCTCCCACTATATCCAGGTTTTCCCAGGGACCAAAGTACTGAGGCATTAGTTTGGGAGAGATTCCGAATTCCTGTCCCAACTCACTAGCCTTGACCCAGACACGTTCCCCTACCTGAAATGTGGACTGTCTACGGTGTTGATTCTCAGAAGCAATCATTGCTTGCTGAGCTTTCTGCATGTGCTTGACAGCTTCTTGCAGCAACTTCTCATATTGCACACCATACTCAAGTGTGCCTGGAGTTGCAGTGGGTCGGTTTTCAGGTAGGAGGAAGTCTAATGCTGATCTAGGCTTCGATCCCAAGTGTAACTGATTAGGACTAACGTCGGTACTGCTATGGACAGCATTGTTGTACAGGCTGGCGATGAGAGGCAACTGCTCATCCCAGTCATCCTAGCTGGGCTTGATGTAATGCCTCGGCAAGTGCTGTACGACTCTGTTCATTTGCTCGGCTTGTCCGTTGGCTTCGGGATGATTCCCTGAAGTCATCTGAAGTTGACTGCCCATCTGTTCTACAGTCTTCTTCCACAGCTCACTTGTGAATCGGACATCTCGGTCACTAACGATTGACTTTGGTAAACCAAAGTCACGCACCCAGTTGTCTTTGAACAACTTGATGACATAGTCAGTTCTTGCGGTCTCTGGCATAGTCACTAGTCTAGCGTACTTGGTGAATCGATCGATGATGACGAAGATGTGGCTCTTGCCACTCTTACTAGTCACCAGGGTGTCCATGAAATCCATGGAAACACTCTGTCTTGGACCAGCAGGAATAGGCAAAGGCTTCAACAACCCAAGCGGTGCTTGAGTTCGCGGTTTGTCCCGCTGACAGACCTGACAGGTCTCTACGTACTTCTTTGCATCATCTAACATTCCTGGCCACCAAAATCGTTGTACTAGGTTAGCACTCGTCTTCTTGTAGCCAAAGTGCCCAGTTGCGTCATGACATTCGCCTAAAAACAAACTACGCAATCGCTCACTAGATGGAACTACTAATCTTTTTATTCCGGCCTTATCAAGATAGAGTAACCCGTCCACCATCACAAACTCACTTTCTGTGGCCTTGTCTTTAGCCTGAAGTCTGCGCATGATGTCCGTCGTGACAGGGTCTTCCTGATAGGCTCCCACCAATGATTGAGTTACTTCATCAGATACGCCAAAGAAACTAGCGCACCTAGGTAGTATACTCTACGTGATAGCGCATCTGCAACCTTGTTGTACTCTCCCTTCAGATACTCAAGCTTGAAGTCATATTGGTCTATGACCTCAATCCACCGCTTGAGTGCGTCAGAAAGAGTCGGTTGAGTCTTGATCCATTTGAGGGTCTGATGATCAGTCCTCAAGTAGAAGAACCTTCCCGATAGGAAGGGTCTCCAATGGACAAGTGCTTTATATAGAGCATAGAGTTCCCTTTCGTAGCTGGACTTTGCCAACTTCTTTGATGGCATCTTCTTACTCATGTACTCAATCGGTCTCAACTTTTTCCCATCCTGTTGAGCCAGCACTGCGCCAATGCCGTATTGGCTTGCGTTAGTGGTCACTATGAATGGCTTCTGAGGATCGGGAACCATGAGAACTTCATGATTCATGAGGGCATGCTTCAATCGCTTGAAAGCACCCTCGCACTCATCACTCCAGTCCCACGGCGTGTCAAGTCGAGTTAGATCTGTCAAAGGAGAGGCAACTGTAGAATAGTTCTTTACAAAATTTCTATAGTAGCCGCACATTCCTAAGAAAGATCTGAACTCAGTGACAGTCTGAGGTCGTGGCCAGTCTCGAATACTAGCCACCTTCGCATCTTCCGGCCTAATCCCTTCCGCTGATACTTCATGACCCAAGTATAGTATCTTAGTGCGACCGAATTCACACTTCTCTAAGTTGACCTTATACTTGTGTTGTCGAAGGAGTGAAAGTACCGTCTCAACATGTTGTGCATGCTCCTCGGCAGACTTACTAAAGATCAGAATCTCGTCAAGGTAGACCACGACAAACTTATCTAAATGGTCATGGAAGATCCGATTCGTAGCGTGCTGGAATGTTCCCGGCGCATTGCAAAGACCAAAGGGCATCACTACAAACTCATACAGACCATAACGTGTCTGAAAAGTTGTCTTCTGTTGGTCCTCAGGTCTTATAGCGATCTGATGATAGCCGGATTTCAAGTCTATCTTGCTATAGTACTTGCATCCCTGCACCCTATCCAATAGGTCGTCTATGCGAGGTAGAGGCTCTGCGTTCTTCACAGTGATGGCATTGAGGCCTCTATAGTCAATGCACATCCTCAATGTACCCCCCTTCTTCGGTACGAATAGCACAGGAGATCCGTAATGGGAAGTACTAGGCCGAATCCATCCCTTTTCTGTCAGCTCCTTAAGTTGTTGCCGAAGTTCATCTAACTCGGCGGGAGCCATCCTATAGATCCTTCCCTTTGGGGTCTTACTCCCTGGGATGATTTCTATAGCGTGGACAACTTCCCTTTCAACAACTCTTGTGGGCTCTTCGAACAGATCAGGGAACTTAGCAACGACGCGTTCTATCTCTGGGGGTGTTTTAACGGCCTCCCCTTTCTCAGAGACATACACAAGGTACATACCTTCCTCTTGGTTTTGCTTATAGTAATTGTAGAACGCTGATGCACACAAGCAACCATAGGTATCTATAATACTACTTACCTTGAACTTAGTCAATCTGACAGTTCGGCCATCGGGCAACTTATGCTTGAGCACCTTCTTATCCCATTCGAACTAGGGCTTAGCAACCATAGGTAGTACATGCCTAACAACATGTCGAATGGTAAGTCGTCGCTAACCAAGAACGAAATCTTATGATTAAGTTCTCCTCCTCCATAGGAGAAGGTACGGACTACGTCCTTGATATAGTTTGTTACAATCATGCGCTCCTCGTTTGCCAAAGTAGATGCTACAGGTCTACTAAGGTGCCGTACCCGGTCCTGTAGGTGCAGCCTTTCCAAACAGTCGCGACTTATGTAATTCCGCGCAGAGCCTATGTTTATGAAGGCACCATATTTGCGGCCTCCTACATCGACTTCCACCAAGAAATGTTCCCCTCTAGGACCTTTCCTTAGCACCACCCAAGACTAGCGAGGGTCCTTGTTTGACCACTCACTCTCCAAGTTTTCTAAGGCATCAAACACATCTAACGTACAGAGCATAGTTTGGTCTAGATGAGTCTGCGGGGTGACTAAAGAGTCATTAGCTTTGGCCTTCTCGTGAAGTGGGGAGGGTATCTGGCCCACTTCACCAAGAGCAGAAGCAGCTAAAACTTCCACTGGCCTCACGTGTTTCCCGAGCTAGAAGCCTGGGAATAAGATGCCCCCATTTTTGGAGGTATCTTTTGCGTAACCTTTGCGTTCTGGCACTTGTACTGCGAGTGACCGTATTCCCCGCAGTTGAAACAAGCACCACGCACTCGGCGGTCACGCCACACGTCTTGATCAAGACCTGCCTTCACCCAATCAGCCACTTTGGTCTGGTTGGAGGCGGCCTTCCCTTGACTCCTTGGTTTGCCCTTCCCTCGGCCACCTGCCTTAGCCTTTACAACTGCGGCGAGGGTGCTACCCTCAGCGGTCTCCTCGCCGTCGTACTCTGAGTAACCCATCAGGTCAGTGAGCTCGTCAATCTCAGTTTGAGTCCCATTGGACTCAACCATCATCAACTTAGCCCCCTTCTTCTTCCACTCCTGAGGACTCTTCTTCTTCTTCGTGTCATTCTGAGAGGGTTGAGCATTGCCTAGAGTGGCCTCCAAGTCTAAGGCTTTCCTAGACAATGTCTCAAACGAATGGTACTCGACGCGTGCCTCACTGGCCAGCAAGTTCCTGATGTTCTCTGGAAGACATCTAACAAACGTAGTTAACAGGAACTGGTCACTGTAGTTGATGCCTGGAACGAGGATCAGGCTCTCCACGGTAGTCGTAAGCTCTCTAACCGACTTGAACTTTCGTTGGTCTAACTTGTTAATCGCATCAGTGGCTCTTTGTGCCTCCTTTGGATTATGCCATCGAGCTTCTACTATCTCCATGAACTGGTATACCGTTAAAGACGTAGCCCAGTCCGCCATGCGTCGCCCGTACCTGGCCTTCACAACTACACCATCTAGCCATTTGGCTGCTTTACCCTCAAGGTAAGATGCAGCAGTTACCACTTCGTCCTCCAGCAAGGTCCTCTTGGCCTTCACCCAAACCGAGACTGTCCTCAACCAAGTGTTGAGCTCTTCGTCCTTTCTCTCGCCTGAGAAGGCAAGAGGCGGTTTCATTGGGGTCTTAGGATACCATTGTCCCTGTTGAGGAACAGGTTGTTGCGGTGGAGTAGCTCCCACCGCTGGACCCGAAAAAGAAGATGCAACAGTCTGTGCAACTGTTGCAGACGTACCACTTGGTTGTGTACCAGCTTGAACTGGAAAGGGGCCTGACATCGCAGACAACGGCAACGACGATTGTGTTGGTGGCCTGAATCCTGGCCTTGTCAATACATCGAGGATCTAGTCTAGAGTGTTCTGCATGAAGTCTAATCTGTTGTCCACGTGTGCATGCAACGACAACATATTCTTCTTCAGTGTTTTCATTTGGTCATTCATTGATGACTCATCCAAGCCCTCTAACTCAGCCTTGTCAGCCTCTAAGTATCAAGCCTGGCTGTTCTATTTTTTATCTCTCTTTCTCTATCGGTAGCTTTCTTCAGGTCCCTCTCTAACTGTTCACGGATCCTTTCGACCTGCTGGAGCTCCCTGAGCTCCCTTTCACGAGGAGTCAACGGGCTGAACTGCACGCCCGCCATTTGACTTGTAGACTGCCGAGAACCTAACGAACTGGAAGTACCCGTGGACCCTGTTGGCATTCCCAACTGTGGTCCAGACGAGGACACAGCAACAGATGTAGCAGAGGACGCTGCTGCAGAAGACATGGCTGCTACCCTGGCTGCTGCTGCAGCCTGTTCCCTAGCTGCAACGTTTGCTGCCTCTCTCGATGCTGCGAGAGCACGGGCTCTGCGTTCGGCACGAATGCGTCTTTCGTCTTCCGGTTGTAGGGTCTGGAACACGAGCGGGATCCTATGTGATCTCGCACGTGTTAGTCTAGCATCGTCAACTCTCTCCTCATCGACGTCTGACCCATTCATCAATTAGGCAAGCATTATCTGCACTAGAATCCCCTGGTGGAATCCTACCACAGCATGTGTCTAACCGACACCTAATTTCCTAAAAATAGTTGTGTCCGGTAGGTCCCCTACTGTACCGATCAAGTGGCATGTCTACAACATTCACACAGATTGTCTACATAGTCTAGATGTACTCTGATTGGTTCACTTACAGCAGCATTAGACAGAACTGGCTATGGTAGCATACAACAGTCCTAATCTAATCTGTCTGTGAGGTGTTAGCAGTCTGTCCACCAACTAATCAAGAATACAAAAAGACCATGTAGCCGATGTATGATGAGTGGGTATGGTTGTGTATACAGTTGAGCACCAATTAGCACCTACCCTTCCCCTCAATCCAACATACCGAACAACATCAATGAGCAAGCAGTGTCTTCGTGTGTTTGTCGGCCCACCCCTGTGCCCAAGTCGTTACCAAGCAAGCCAGCCCAACCACTCTTATTTACCCTCGTACGGCGACGAGCCTTCCTGTCCATGTGATCTGGCTGATCAGGAGGAATTTATAGAGCGCCCCCATCTCTTCAGAAATTATTTAACGTCGCAGTCAGGACGACGATCATAGCCAGATTCACAATGAACTCCCAACCAGAAATCTTTATAGACAGTCTGGTACGCGTCTGTCATGGGCTGGCACACCCGGCAGGACTTCTATTTAGCGCAGCAAGTGCCATAATGGACAGCAGCCATCGCATGCGTGACCTACTCCCATTGGGTTGGCATGGTGACCGTGACCCAGTGCTTTGACCAGGGCCCTTCAGAGGCACCGCCCTTTCTCCTTCCAGATGCTTCCGGGAAGATTGTCCTCTCTCAAGGTAGCGCACTCACGACACCTCACCAAAAGAGAGGACTCTCAAGTTGGACTCAATTCCTCACGGTGATTGAGAGAGTAGATAAGGTAAGGGAACAACGTATCTGGAGATAGCTGCCCCCAACCACAGATTTCTCACCAATTGAGCTGAGTGTGCATTTGATGACCGGTCTTGGCCTCGGTACCACCCACAACGCAATGCAGTGCCACCTCAGCCGAATGCCACATCAGCATGCTCTCATCACCAATCATACATTCCGCATGTCACCACGGCATACACTGTCGTCTTAGCCTTCCGGCGCACCCCTCTCTACCCAGGGCGTGCGCCTATTGTGGCCTGACGTCACAAGTACCCACTGCGAAGAAGCATTGTCACGCACCAAGTCTGTATAACGCCAGCGTGCCAAAGGTAAGTGGCGAATCAAACCAGCTCCGATACCAAATTGCAAGGAACATGAATATGGACAAAGCACAGAAATCCAGATTGCAAAATCACACTGAAGTACAAGTAGTCAAAGCCAAAGCAGATAGCACAATGGAACCGAGTAACCATCCAATTGAGAATGATACAGAAGAATCGTGAGTCAATGTCCAGGCCCAACAGGGCAACACCAACAGCATAACCCAATGTAGCTCTCTCTTGTGAATGGAGCCAGGCGCCCTATCTACTCTACAGACTAAGCCTACAACTACAGCAATGAAAGCAACCAGACAACTTGACTACCAGCGAGTGATGATGTCAACACCAATGCCGACCTCCACCTCCACCAGGTACGTNGATATCTTGAGTATTGTGTGGGCGCATGTCGCCAGTTGCTGTTTCGCTGTTTGCATACATGACAAGTTGAATAATCAGAAGTGTGATTTCATAAGTGAATGTGTTAAAATAAATGAATGTTAAATCAAAATATTGAATGACCAATATAACGTGGAGAGTAATCCGAGATGTTCACAAAAGATAAGCAATTGCAAGGAACATGAAAATGGACGAAGCACAGAAATCCAGATTGCAAAATCACACTGAAGTACAAGTAGTCAAAGCCAGAGCAGATAGCACAATGGAACCGAGTAACCATCCAATTGAGAATGATACAGAAGAATCGTGAGTCAATGTCCAGGCTCAACAGGGCAACACCAACAGCATAACCCAATGTAGCTCTCTCTTGTGAATGGCGCCAGGCGCCCTATCTACTCTACAGACTAAGCCTACGACTACAGCAATGAAAGCAACCAGACAACTTGACTACCAGCGAGTGATGATGTCAACACCAATGCCGACCTCCACCTCCACCAGGTACGTGTCCTCTTYACCCACACTCTCCCTTGTTACCCACACAGCGCCCTTCACCTCCGAAGAACCACCTTCGCCCTCACCTCCCCTGCGCCCCATGCAGCCCGGCTATGGCCGCCAGCGCACAGTGCACAGGCAGCGCCCTACCGCCTAGCGCCTGCCTGCCTTGCACCTCATCCCAGCGCAGCGCAGCAGCTTGCATTTGCGCAGCGTGCYGGCAATGCTCGCATTGGCCAAGATCCCTGCCCACTCGCCCTGCTTGCCTATATGCCAGTGCTGCGTGTGGGCGGCCTCCCTTCAGCCTGCGACTGGGCCCCAGTGGCTGAACCCAGCCCGATACAGTTGAGGCCMGGGGYAATGCAGTTGCGCCTCCTTCATCAAGGCCTGCGGCCAGATTCAGATWGTGGGCCGATTTCCCTTTGGCATTTTCGGCCTCTAWCCCCARCATGCATTGTCGGCCTCACGTTCAAGTGCCCAGGGCCTAACTAACTCAGAGGCCCTGGGATCTCYACATTTGCAGAGATTCAAGACTCGGTGCACTCCAACCAACTGGCGTGCTGCAACTGTATGGACCCCACTTCGGGAAATGTTTGCACAGAGGGCTCTTGTTGATTTGCTGGCCCGCCTTCACTTAGGGCGGGCACTAGGCTTGCTGGGGCCTTAGCCCAGAACATGTACATCATGGCAAGGCCCCTTCTTGAGGGCTCAATCCTCACACAATGGTTTCCTCGAGGTTAGTCAAGGTAGATTCAATAGGATTCCTTCTAATCTTGGTGTGCGTGTGAGGAGACATTTGTCCTATTCTTCTTCTGTTGTTTATCGTGCTTCTATTCTTCTTCTATTGTTTGTCGTGCCCCCTCTTTCTTCTTCTGTTTCTAATGCTTTCCTTTCCTGCCCTGTTCCTTCCCTCCTAGCTGTTTAGCACCTCTACTCCTGTTCTCCTTTCCTTGCGTCTTTCCCCTGTCTGTGTACGTGCGCTTCGACGATGGGGGGCTAGAGGTGCCTTGTGTGTTCGTTGCTTGCGGGTGTGGGGGGGTAGCTGGGGGGATTATATGCGTTGGTGTAGGGTGATGTGTGTGAGGGGTGGTTCGGAGGGTCGTGTTCGAGTGTTGGTGGTTGGTCACGGTGTTGTGTGCTTGTCACGGGAAAGTCCGTCGACGCTGGTGCTCGGTCGCGATCCATCCGTCTATCTCGACGTTGGTGAGCATTGGTTGATGCGATGTCTAGACTAGCTTGGCCGCCTTCGTAATGATGCCCTACTCCTGTCTGTTCGAGTGTGTTTGGTTCCTTCTATGGACTGAATTTTATTTCCTACTTGAGCTACCTAGCCTCCGGACTCCCCCCTTACCTACACCGCCCCCCCACCGCCCCCCCACCGCCACCTCTAGCCCCCAATCGTCGAAGCGCACGTACATAGACAGGGGAAAGACACAAGGAAAGGAGGACAGGAGTAGAGGTGCTAAACAGCTAGGAGGAAAGGAACAGGGCAGGAAGGGAAAGCATTAGAAACAGAAGAAGAAAGACGGGGCACGACAAACAATAGAAGAAGAATAGGAGCACGATAAACAGTAGAAGAAGAATAGGACAAACGTCTTGTCACACGAACACCAAGATTAGAAGGAATCCTACTGAATCTACCTTGATTAACCTCGAGGAAACCATTGCTTATCTTTGGTGAACATCTCGGATTACTCTCCACGTTATATTGGTTATTTAATATTTTGATTTAACATTCATTTATTTTAATTTTTAACACATTCACTCATTACAACATTCTTTTTGCCTATTGATTACTCAAAAACCTTGAGTTAATATTCATTTATTTTAATATATTAATTTATTTCAACATTCTTTATTGCCGATTATTCTTCCTAGGAAGAAAAATATAGTTTTTTATGTCGAGTTCTGTATGACCTACTCATCGCCCGTCGAATAAAGCATTGTGTACCATCGAGGATTCACCCCCGCCTTTCCACCTTAGGCTCCACACACGGACACGAAGGTGTTTCGGGTGGAAAAGCCTCGACAACTTTACTCCCGATAATTTGATCCCCAAGTGGGGTGGGGAGGCCAACCTCTGCCAAAATTTTCCACATAGACAAGCTTGAGGAGATTGAACGGTGTGAGTCCTCACCACGTCCCCCAGAGGGGTAACACAACGGAACATAGTCTCGCCCTCAAACAACCAGAAGCAGCGGC